GGTTTAGGGGTCGTGCGGCACCGTGTGGGGTTGTTGGTGGGGTTATTGGGGGTTACGGACTCCCAAAACCTTTTTTTTTTTTTTTTTTTTTTTTACGGTGCGGACGACCACTGACCAGCTGGTGCCAACCAGCTGGCCAATCAAGGGGCGCCCACCGTCGGCCTGTGCAACGCTGATTCCTAGTAATTATTAATTCCCTACTGAATTCCATTCATTTCTTTGTTTATCTCTGTCCTGGAGCAATAATGTTGTTTAAACATTAATTAATAATAATTTAATTAATACTTCGAACTTCGAAGTGTGACTTTTTTTTTTTTTCCCTTTTGCCCCCAAAATAACTTTTTATTACGAGCTGGAAATCGGGTCCAGCGTCCCTTACATCACGAACCCACTTTATGTGTCCCTTGAGCTCCTTTCGTTGGGGTCAAGAGACCCAGAGATGGCAGCATTGATTCCTTCCGTTCTCGGAAAAGGTAGTTGTACTGCTCAACCCCTGTTGCCCTCCTCCTTCTTCTTCTTTTTTTTTTTTTTTTTTTTTTTTCTCTAACAACTGAAAAAACTGCTTTCTTCTTAATTTATGCGCGTCCTCGTCATTCCAATTTTAAACCACCACTACTTGGCCCAGCTATGGATGCCAAGCCAAGAAATGCCCTGCACAGTGCACACCAAGTTCTGCCGACCCGTCAGCACGACTTTTTTTTTTTTTTTTTTTTTTTTTTTTTCGGCTGGCGTGTCTGTCCTTTGTGGTCCTGTACCCCCAAGCGCGCAGGCGTCGGCGCGTTAACGGCTAAGGCCCACGGACAATAGCCAGGCCAAGCTTGTACGGGTGGTTTAAGGGATGTCGTGAGGGAGGCCGCCCTCTTTTCCACCAAACGGCCCATTACTATATTCCTCCTTCCAACCTGGCCCGCTAGCCGGCCTCAACTCGACTCTATATGCCAAATTCTCCTCCAGCTATGCTGGTCATCTAGGCGGTCTTTGTTTGCTCTCTGGTCGCCCGTCTACGGTCATGATGAGCGTAAGGTCTTGATGAGCGTGCGTTGCGTTTGGGGGTGAGACGGCAACATTGTGGGCGTACCATGAGCGTGCATTTGCGTTTGGGGGTGAGACGGCCACATTGTGGGCCTACCATCTTCACCTGAATAGAACACCCGGTCATTATGGCTGCATCAGGACTGACAGTTGCACCACTTGCCACCCACCAACATTTTGAATGCACAAGGTCAGATTGCCTGTTCAGATGCATTTAAAATGTTCGCGCACAACTAGGCCCTATTGCACCACCCAGCCGCTGCTTTCGTTGATTGTTTCACTTTTTTTTTTTTTTTCGCCTCCTGAAGAAGGGCTTGTTGATTTGTTTGTCAAATTCGCTCATTCCTGACATGGATACAATACTCTTTGGAGTCTGAACTATGCTCCACTGCACAACATTCTAAATGTATCTGGACCCAGTGGTGTCCCGATACATTCCGAGTTTGGGTCAGTCCGAATGTATCAGGATCAGGCCACTTTCCAGATACATTTAGAATGTTGTGCAGAGGAGCAAGGCCCTTCTTCCGCTATCTTCGTTTGCTCCCTGGCTTTGAGTCTTCTAACATTGGACCTGGCTGCAGTACTCTCGAAATGTGGAAAATGAGAGTGAATCTCCCTCTAGAACATGGGAAGATGCACTGCCATGTTTTTTGTTTTTTGTGCACGTCAAGAGTAGTGGAGCGAGACCCATTCATTCTCTCCGTCGTTGTTGTTGTTTTTTTCTTTTTTCTTTTTTCTTTTTTTTTTCCCCATTTGTTTTCAGAAACGGATGACAGCTTGTAGCATTATAGTATTTGATACTATTCAATGTATTGGGCCTAGCTCCGCCACTCACCACATGCGCAAAAGACAAAAATCATGGTGGTGTATCATTCCATGCTCTGGGGGAAGATTCATTCTCATTCTGTGGGCCTTGCTCCACTAACAACATGCACAAAAGACAAAAACTACGGTGGTGTATAATTCCATGTTCTAGGGGAAGATTCATTCTCATTTTGTGGGCCGTGCTCCACTACTCGCCACATGCACAGAACTCAGAAGTTATGGTGGTGTATCATTCCACGTTCTAGGGGAAGATTCATTCTCATTTTTTTTGCCCATTCGGCGATCAGTGGCGCGAGGCCGCCCATTGATGCGATTTGTTCAGGATCTGAACTCCTGTATCTTTCTTTTTTTTTTTTTCTTTTTTTTTTTAATGGTCCGATGGACCACGGATCAGATATTAAACTGATCGGAACAGATACTACGCTTTATTTTAGCCGAAATGCCAAGAGGAAAAAAAAAAAAAAAAAACGTTTGC